GATCCAGGCTATCTGGGGATATGTGATACGAATGGGAAACGTTCGGTTATTTGAAAGTTATGTATTTTTATGTCTTTTGTGACGTTATATTTAAAATGGCGACTGGCTTCATCCTGGAGATAATTGAGTTACTCGGTAATTATCTCCAGGGCAGAGGGGAGGGAATCATAATGCACTGTGGGTAAAATCTGTGACTGTGTGTCTGGAATGTCACCATATCTGTCTGTCATTTAAGTTTCCCATTTGGTCCCCTAGGGGAGTGTCCACCAAGTGAGAAACCTGCATAAATATGGGCAGGTAGCCCACAGTAAAGCTAGATCCTGTTTGACCCTCAATGCGGAGCTTCTGTCTCGTTATTGGGGGGATTTCTTCTTCACGTTTAGAGACTGCTGGATGGAACCGAAAGCCGCTTGGTGGATATTGTTGTTCGGCGGCTAGCAGCAGTTCGTGTATTGCCGTTCGGGAGTTTGGAGCCGTTCACGGATCCCGGCCGGGAGATTGCTGCTTCCCCTGCATTTGGTTTGTGTACTACAGGTTAGGCGAACGGAGTTACTGTTACTGCAGACGGGGAAGGTCTACTAAACGGCGGTTTTGCCTAAAGACACTGGAGGTGTCTTAACAATTGGTGGCAAGCGACGGGATGAATCCCACAGCATTGGAGGTCAGCTACAAGACATGCAGTACGAGGAATTAAGGCGTGCTACACTTAAGGATATATTGGAACGCCGAGGAAGGTCAGCAAGCAATTTAAAAAAGAGGGAAATTATTGCTTTACTACTGGAGATGGATGCGGTAATGGAGTGAGTCAATGTGCCCAGTACCTTGGATTTAACACCCGAGGAATTACAATTTAACCGGGCAGTGCAAATAAGGCTGGCACATTTTGGCCCCAACCCCTCAGCTGACATCGTGGAGCGTGTGCAGGCAGCAGTAACAGCACACCAGGCGCTCCGGGAAAGAGGAGCTGCAGCAGCAGAGGTACCCAATAACTATTTTGCTAGGAAAAAGTTACCCTTTGCTGCATTTAAAAACTTTATGGAAACAGAGGGTGAGATTGATGGGTTCCTGGCGGATTTTGAGAGGCAGTGTGCCCTACACCAGGTACCAGCAGATGAATGGGTCACCATCCTCTCTGGGAAGTTATCCGGCCAGTTATTCAGCCATCCCAGCGGAGGAGATCACCAGCTATCAGGCTGTGAAGGATGCACTCCTAGCCAGGTATGCGGTGACCCCAGAAGCGTACAGACGGAGATTTAGAGAAACCAATAAGCAGGTTGGTGACTCTTATGTGGAGTGGGCCTGCAGAGTTCATCGTACCGCAGCCCACTGGATGGCAGGATGCCAAGCGGTAACTGGGGAGGAAGTGCTACAAGTGTTCCTGCTGGGGTCGGGAGTGGTTCAGAGATAGAAAACCCTCTACCCTACCCGAGGCTGCTCGTCTGGCAGACAAATACACAGATGCCCACAAGTTGGATGGTGCAGCTGCCAAAGCCCCTGCCAGACTGGAGTATCGACCAGCAGTAACACCCGCTCCTTCAGCATGCCAACCCCCATTACATCGTACCCCAGCCGCACCGCCAGCTAACAACTATGTGCAGCCATCCAGATTTAATGCCCGGGATTATTCCCAACCTATCCGGTGCTTTGGGTGCAAACAGTTGGGGCACAAGCGTACAGAGTGCCCACTGAACAGTGCCAACCAAGCCCAGTCCTGGAGGAGACCAGCCAATGGGAACCAGCGGCCACCTCAGCCTGCTGCTCACTGCATAGAGCAGGAGGAGATCTGGAGCATCCTACACGAGGCCGACCCAGTGCAAGCAGCTCACCAGGATAATCGCCAGCAACATCGGCAAACCGTGAAGCTGAATGGCAGAGTGGTAAATGGGCTGAGAGACACAGGAGCCACGATGACACTGCTCCAAAAGAACTTGGTCTCGGAGCATCAGCACACTGAGGACACTGTGGCAGTAAGGGTAGCAGGGGGTGCCATGTTTCGCTTACCTGTTGCCCGGGTACATTTGGATTGGGTAGTGGGCGCTAGACATGTGGATGTGGGGGTGATGAAAGACTTGCCCACAGATGTTCTTCTGGGAAACGATTTGGCCCCTTTGGTTTCAGCCTATGCTCCGATGGGCCCTGCGGATGTGAACCCAGTGACCACCCGTGCCCAGACCTGTGCTGCCGGAACCAGCCCACCTGCTGATGAGACCCAGGTAAGATCTCCTTCCCCGACTGGTACCCCAGATCAGGTCCCCTTAAGCTGGGATTCCCCAGAGGAGTTTGGGAGGGAAACCCGGGCAGATCCGACCCTCCAAAAGTACAGAGACAGGGCAGATGCTGGAGAGGAAGGAATAGATGGGGAATGGTATGAGTGGGTGGGGGACAGGTTATATAGGATCCCTAAGCCTTCCCAGAAGAGTGTTGCCCCTCCGCCGAATCGCCAGTTAGTGGTGCCTGCAAAGTACCGGCAGGAGATTCTGCGGATAGGGCATGATGTTCCGTTAGCTGGACATCTAGGGTCCTGCCGCACTGCCTATAGGATCTCACAGAATTTCTTTTGGCCAAACTTTAACCAGGCTGTGCGGATGTATTGCAGTGCGTGCGACACATGTCAACGGGTAGGAAAGCGGGGGGACCACCCTAAGGCTAGGCTATTATCGATGCCTATTATAGGGGAGCCCTTTGCCCGCATAGCCGTTGACATTGTGGGTCCACTGGCCAGGGCTAGTCCATCAGGTAAGAAATACGTTCTTACCGTGGTGGACTATGCCACTCACTATCCAGAGGCAGTAGCGCTGTCTAATCTAGAGGCAGAGATGGTTGCTGATGCCCTGGTTAGAATTTTTACTAGGGTCGGGTTTCCTAAGGAGATTCTCTCCGACCAGGGAACCCAATTCACCGCTGTGCTCACCCAGCAGCTGTGGAAGGTGTGTGGCATTAAGCCGTTACTTAGCTCACCCTACCACCCACAGACTAACGGTCTCTGCGAGCGCTTTAACGGTACCCTCAAACAGATGCTGAGGACCTTTACAGACACTTGCAGAGACTGGGAGAGATTCCTGCCTCATCTATTATTTTCTTATAGAGAGGTGCCCCAGGAATCTACTGGGTTCTCCCCCTTTGAGCTGCTGCATGGGAGAAGGGTCCGCGGACCCCTAGATCTCATTAGAGGCCACTGGAAGGGGGAGACGGAGCAAGAGGGGACCCCCATAGTACCATATGTTATGGAACTCCGGGACCGCATGGAGAAACTGCCCCTGAAGGTAAGGGAGAATCTCCAGGCGGCCCAGGGGAGACAGAAGAGATGGTACGATCAGGGTGCCCGACAGCGGGTCTTCCAGGTTGGGCAAAAGGTACTCAAACCTGTGAAGGCCAACAAGATGCAAGCATCTTGGCAGGGCCCGTACAAGGTAGTGGCGCAGATCTGCGACACTACTTACTTGATAGCCAGCTGTGCAGATGAGAGGATCCAGCGATCCTTTCATGTGAACATGCTGAAAGAGTACCAGGAGAGACCTGAGAATATTGCAGCAGTATGTGCCCCAGCTGCAGATGATTCTGAGAATCTACCCCTTCCAGATCTATTAGAAAGGGATTCCCAGACTGACCTTACTACCCTTGTACAGCTAGGGGACCGGTTGAACCGGTTGAACCGGTTGAACAGGCGCAGCAGTTGTTGTGGGAGAAGCAGGCGACGTTCTCCCAGGAACCAGGTTATACCACCCTAGCTGTACATAAGGTAGAGACCCCTGGACAGAACCCTTTATGACAGCCCCCCTATCGTATCCCTGAAGCAGTCTGTGAAGGAATGCGGAAGGAGATACAGGAGATGACCCAGCTTGGGGTCATCGAGCACTCCGACAGCCCTTGGACCTCGCCTGTAGTCCTGGTGCTCAAGAAAGATGGGACCACTCTGTTCTGTGTGGACTACAGGCGGCTCAACGAGCGGACTACCACTGACGCCTACCCAATGCCCCGGGTAGATGAATTACTGGATCATATTGCCAGGGGGCGATATCTGACCACCATAGACCTGTGTAAGGGCTACTGGCAGATCCCCCTGGCCGAGGATGCTATTCCCAAGTCAGCATTTGTCACCCCATTTGGCCTGTACCAATTTAAGGTCATGCCTTTTGGGCTGAAAAATGCACCTGCTACCTTCCAACGGATGGTGGATAGACTCCTGGATGGCTTCCAAGAATTTGCCTGTGCATACTTGGACGACATTGCGATTTACAGTGGGTCCTGGGAGGAACACCTGGTACATGTAGGGGTAGTGCTGGATAAAATTCAGGCCGCTGGCCTGACATTGAAGCCAGAGAAGTGCCATCTAGGTATGGCTGAAGTACAATATCTGGGTCACAGAGTGGGCTGTGGGAGCCAGAGACCAGAGCTGGGGGCTGTGCTGAGCCAAGTCGGGGAAGATGGAGGAGAGCACCCTGTCGCATATCTCAGCAGAAAGTTGTTACCCAGGGAAGTGAGTTATGCGGCAGTGGAAAAGGAGTGCTCGGGAAAAAAGTCATTCGAATGGCTGGGCTATAGAAAACAGCCATTCATACGAACGGGATACAAACAGACGAATGCAACTAAAATACAAGCAGGCAGATGGTTCTGTCACACTCTATATCATATGATGTTATATTTTCTATATCATATAATGTTATATTCTCTATATCATATAATGTTATATTTTGCAGTACACAGATTGGCCCATTTTATTCCCTCTTGATTCGGCTGATTCGGTTCCCCAATCGGCTGCTGATTCAGATATTCTGTTGAGATGAACCGACATTTCCCTGAAAGTGGGGCCGTCCCAGGCTGGTGTTGCTTCTTTCTTATTGCTCTATATGAATGATACATTGAAAAATAATGCAGAGGGAAATAAAAAAACAATTAATAAAAAACTCTAAAATAAATAAATCATAATAAAAATAAATATTATGAGGAAAAGTCAATTAGTGATGTTGCGAACGGTTCGCCGCGGTTCGCAGCGAACTCCAGTCAGCTGACACATCCCTGCCAATCTCAGGCAGACCCTCCCTCCCAGACCCTTCCACCTCCTGGACAGCATCCATGTTGAAGCTGCCTTCAACATGGATGCTGTCCAGGAAGTAGGAGGGTCTGGGAGGGAGGGTCTGCCGGAGATTGGCAGGGATGTGTCAGCTGACGGGAGTTCGCCACGAACGGTTCGTGGCCAACCGTGGCGAACCGTTCGCGGCAAGTTCGCGGACGGTTCGCGACATCACTAAAGTCAATGCTTCAAAGTTTCTTCTTTGCAGAATATCTTTCTAGCTTCAGCCCCGGAAGGAATTGGCGATTCCTGGAGATTTTCAGCCAGTCGGTACTCTCCTATACAACTGATCATGGAGCTGTGTGCATGCACGTACATAATAAATGTAATTCTCAGCAATTCCTAAACAAAGTGGGTGACATTCAGAAATCTCTTTGTGAATTGTGAAGTGGAGAGAGAGATGGATCGGAAAGATACATTATGTGGATTCCCATAATCCCCGGCTCTGATCAGGCCACGTCCTCGACCCGGGAAGGAGATCAAAAGATCTCCATCCCGTCTCTTCAGAAATTGACTCCCTGGGGGTGTGTGGTACCCGAGCTCTGTGAGGGAGTCAGAGTGCAGGCTCCGGGTTTACCAGACTGTGCTCTGATGTCATCACAGAGCGACAGAGCAGGAGGCTTGTGACTACACCATGGACCACCAGGGACCCCACTGGATCACCCACGGGGCCACCAGGGGAGGAATTATTGCCCTGATCCTGCACAGGAGGTAAATAGGAAGGAACAAATGCTACATATCTGTATAAAAAAAGCCTTACTAGTCAATGTGGGTAGACTGTGTTCACATAGTGTCTCACCACGCCTTAACTCTCACACACATCCCACTACCATTGCTACACTCACCACCCGTACCCTATCACACTCAGCCCCTAACACTGCCACATTAACCCACCCCTGAATTCTCACACTCACTTCCATAACACTGCCACACTAACCACCTTGCCAGTCACTCACCACACCAGTGGCGTAACTACCACAGGGACTGGGCCTTGCTGGTGTCCTGCTACACCGGTCCAAGCTCGCGGTCACAGGGTGACTAGCAGGAGGGGAGCACACAGCACTCCCCAACTGCCAGTCACTGAATGTAACGTGGCCAAGGTGGTTAAAGGGGCTTCTGTTTTCCTTTACCCGGTCTGACAAGAATTGCTCGTTGAGAGAGCACTTCCTGCCAGATTGTTTACCGTGGCCACACTACATGGACAGCGAAGAGCAAGTACAGAAGGGGATGGGGGAGAGACATATGGAAGGGATGGGGGGGGGGGGTGGGTTGACAAATGGAGAGACAGGGGGTGTATTGAGACACATGGAAGTTACAGGCGTAGCAAACTCACTCACCATCACCATGTCACACCTACCCACAAACCTTGTCACACTCACACCTTTCACCTTCTTACACATACCCCGTTTAGGTAATGGTAGGGCTTTGTGCGGTAATTTTTACATTCAAACTACTATAATTCTCCAAATTATACAAATGCCCTTTAAATCCATCTATGAAAATTTTAACTTTAAAAATTGAAATGGTCAGGTCTCTTATATGGCAATATAACTTCACAGGATAATGTTTACAATATACATTGTGGTATCGCTGTATTCAAAGATGAAGCTGAACACAATATTGGCTTGTGTACAGGAATAGCACACATTAGGTTTATATCAGGTTTACGAAATATACTTTGTTAAATGTAAAAAATCAGAAAAGAAAAAAATGTTACTCCAATATTTAGCAGATAATGGCTGTTAAATGGCTACATCAAAAGTGTCAAAATAACCTTAGGTAAATAGCTCTGTGATGTCTACTTTACATAAATATTTATGTTGTGTGGCTAGTTTATGTTCTCTGATGGCTATTAAACTTACAAGACAAACATACCAACTTCAAAATATTGTTTCACATTGAGATTTTATTTTACTCCTTGTATTGTGTGACCTGTAACTACCAAAAATAAACCAAAATCCTACATATGTGATTTATATATGATGAATTTAATATGAAATTAATTTGAATATTAATATGAAATTAATTTATTCTGAACTACTTTTTGAAAGTTGACTAATTATACACACAAACTGTGACAAAAATATATATTTTACATTTTTATTATAATAAATGAGAATTTATATCTACATATGTCATATCAAATTAAAGCCCTTTTTGTCCTTTAAAAAAACTGTATATAATATGTGTTGGTGCAATAAATGAAAAAGTTGGAAATTGCAGTTAATCACAAACAGCAAAAAATGCAAGCATTGCTTTGGTCCTTAAATTAAAAACTGTCAAATAAAGCGTGGTCCTTGAGGGGTTATATGTTATTTATGAACAAAATAAAAGTTGCTCTTTTGCTTAAAACATACGATTATTTATATGTCCCTTTAGGATGTAACTGTCACTACATATCTCTTCAGATATCTGGATGCGAACTTGTTACAAAGATGTCTCAAGATATCTCTGTTGAGGTTCCTACCAGAACAAATTTAAATTTACCATTTGAGTTGCTGGAATTGGTCGGAAACTGCTTATTGAATTATCGCAATGTTTCTAAAACCTGATCAAACATCAAGGTTCCTGGCAGTATGAACTCAACATTTCATCCCTCAGAGTTTCAATAAAATAAATGTGAGTATGAATAGTAAATGTTCACTTACTGGATTTTTGTTGCTTGCATCTGACCTATTTTCCCGTGTTGCATTGGGAGACAGATGATAATTCCCAAAATGAATGACCCATTTCATAAATATGGTGCAGGAGGTGTTGAATTGCTTTTTTGAATCCCTTAATTACAACAAAACTGTTCTTCCCTCTCTAAAAATATAACAATTATCCATCAACATTATCGATGATAAAGTGTTTATTGTATTAGCAATATTTTCTGTGAATTCTGATCAGTAGCAAAAAGACAATGTTTTAATTCATTTGTAAAAAGCATCCCACCTATTAATGACCAAAATAAATGGTGGTTAAATGCTATCTCATTCGCTCTGATCCTGCAGCATGGAAATTATTTTAAGAAATGAGTGTTTAGCTTATCAATTTTGGAATTCTGTGACATATTTGCATCCTACATTTTATTGCTTGAGCTTTTTGGCATGTTCGCATTAATAAATTATAGATCCCAAGGCTCCGTAGAAAATTGCGAACTCTAAATCTCAGTTTTGTTTTCTGACTTATTCTCCTGGTGGATTTGAGCCCAAAAAAAGCATCACTCAACGACTCGTTAGTTTGATAAACTGTCATAAACGAACAGCTACAATAGGATCCTCTACAACTGCAACATTTAGAGCACTCTGGGGAGTTTAGCAAAACACTAGGAAGTCGTTAGGAATTGAAACAGAGCCAAGTGTGCTAGATTTTTTAAATTTTTTTATTAAAAATATATATTTTTATTTTATTATCTTTTTACTTTTTAAATGTCAAAAACTGAAATATAGAGTCTCACGTTCCCTCTGTGAGAAAATGCAGAGTAGAGTTACTTTTGTTCTCTCAAAATAAGTGAAGTTTATTGCGAGTCCTTGATTGTACTTATTACTTACAAAGCTATCCAGGTGGCGTCATGTATAGCCTGATTTATAATTCACAAGCAGTAATCCATGTTGTCTCTGAATGCTAGAGTTGGAGATCAAAGCAGACTTGTGAAAGAAAGATTGACAACATCTGCATCTCAAATCTCCATTACCTTCTTGAAAAGGGTAATAAAATGCTTGTAAGAGTAAACTGGAATTACTAAAACGAACCCTAACATTTAGGTTTCGAGTTGAGCACATCTTCGAGTCAGTTCAATCGGCAGCATGCAATTACACCAATGTTTTCTTTTTCATTCCTTTTAATTCTGTAAAATTAATATCATGGTTTATGATGGAAAGCGCTGCAGGTCTTTCCTGAGATCTGAGACGAGATACGTTTTCAACTTGTTACCAGTTTTCCATCTGAGGCCGTGGGAGGAGATTTATCAAAGTGTTGTGATCGGAAGAGTGGTAAAACTGTATCAATCACTGATAGAGTAAATCTTCTGATTTAACTGGTTTCTATGGCGATTGTCACACAAGCTTTCTAATCTCAAAAACCTCCCCCAACGTCTTGGACACTCCATAGACTCGGAGACCCCTTACTCGAGTTCTTCTGTGTCCGAGAGCATTTAGTATTGGTGCTTTATGCTGCTGATAATTTATGGTAATGACACCGGGAGTTCTGGAAAACCCAGGCGGTCTTCTGATGAACAGGATAACATTGACAGGTAGAAAAGAAAAAATGACTATCCATGCTTTATCTGAAACCGAACCTAGTTAGCCGTTCTTCAATCTGCAAAAAAACACAAACCTCAAGGCATCCTAGAGAGCCTGCTATCCTAATACCACCTTCGCTAGGCCCACAATCCAATGGCTGCACCCTCTCTAAGGAATGCCACTGCTCAAGACGGATTACAGGGTCACTTTTCTATGTGGGACTTCTATGAACAATCACTAACCTGGAAATATAATCTGCATCTTGGGGACATTCTGCTGGTGGAGAAATGGAAAGACAAGAGCCAGTACGAGACAGGGGCAGATCCAGAGCCTGATCTTGGGAGGGGCACTTGTAGATTATTTAAAGAAATAATCCAGGCACAATAACCACTACAGTTCAGTGTAGTGGTTATGGTGCCAGTAGTGCCAGAACCCCATCCCAGAGTAAATTGCCAAACCATTTAAGAACAGTTTGACAACTTACCTGGGGTCTGCTGGGATATAGGGCATATGAGCAGTGGTATGTGTGAGGAGTGCAATGTGTGAAAGGTGCAGTATGTGTGTGTGGGGGGTGTAGTGTGTGAGCGGTGAGGTGTGTGTGAGTGCGTGAGGGCAGCAGTGTATGTCAGGGGTGCAGTGTGTGTGTTAGGGGGCAGTGTATGTGTGGCGAAGTGTGTGTGTGTGTGAGAGAGCTGCAGTGTGTGTGTGAGGGCAGTGTATGTGTGGGGCAGTGTGTGTGAGAGCTGCAGTGTGAGAGGCTTGCAGTGTATGTGTGTTTGGGGGGCAGTGAATGTGTGTATGGTGGGTAGTGTATGTGTGGGCAGTATATGTATGGGGGCAGTGTATGTGTGTGTGGGGCAGTGTATATGTGTATGAGGGGGCAATGTGTGTATGGGGAACAGTGTGTGTAAGGGGGCACAGTATGTGTGTGTGTGGGGCAGTGTATGTATGGGGAGCACTGTATGTGTGTGTGGGGGGCAGTGTGTGTATGGGGGGCACTGTATGTGTGTGTGTGACAGTGTGTGTATGGGGGGCACTGTATGTGTGTCATGATGCAGTTTGTGTATGGGGCAGTGTATGTTTGTGGGGCAATGTGTGTATGGGGGGCAGTGTATGTCTGTGGGGCAATGTGTGTATGGGGGCAGTGTATGTTTGTGGGGCTATGTGTGTATAGGGGGGCAGTGTGTGCTTGTGGGCACCTGTCTATGGGGGAGCAGTGTATGCTTGTGGGGCAATGTGTGTATAGGGGGGCAGTGTATGTTTGTGGGACAATGTGTCTATGGGGGCAGTGTATGGGGGCAGTGTATGTTGTAGGGCACTGTGTGTATGGGGGCAGTGTATGTTTGTGGGGCAATGTGTGTATGGGGGGCAGTGTATGTTTGTGGGGCTGTGTGTGTATGGGAGAGGAAGGAGGGTAGGGAGGCTTTTTAATAATGTTTTTATTTTTTTATTTAATAAAATAAATATATTTATGTTCCCCCTCCCTGCTTACCTTTACTGAGGGAGGAGGGGGGACATTTCTCCATCCCTGGTGGTTCGTGGGGAATCCCTGGTGGTCCCAATGGTGAGAGTGAACTCTAGCCCGCAGCTCCAAGACTAGAGTTCACTTTCATGAGATCCGGAGCGTTGCCGTCCGTGGTAACCAGGGCAACGCTCCGTGCTCGCGAGAGAAGGACCCGGAGGAGCTGCAGGCTGAGCTCCCTGGTCCTCTCTCTCTCCCTCCCCTGCCAGCTGCCTGCACGGTGCCTGCGGACCGGTGAGGGAGATCTCTGATCTCCCCTCCGGTCCTTGAAGGCACATTGCAGGGCTGGCACTTGGACAGTGCCAACCCTGCATTAGCCGGCAGGGGAGAGTCTTGGCGGGGGGGGGCAATTGACCCGTTGCCCCCCTCCCCCGGAACCACCAATAGTACGAAATGGACACATGGATAGAGAGATATTCCGCTAGCACATGGGTAGGCAACCTTTGGCACTCCAGATGTTGTGGACTACAGCTCCCCTAATGCTTTGTGAGCATTATGACTGTAAGAGCATCATGGGAGATGTAGTCCACAACACCAGGAGTGCCGAAGGTTTCCTACCCCTGCGTCTAGCGAGTGACATTCTGTAACTGTACTCCTGGAGTGCTGTATATGTGTCCCCTGAGTCTAGCGAGTGACATTCTGTAACTGTATTCATGGAGTGCTGTATATGTGTCCCCTGAGCCTAGCGAGTGACATTCTGTAACTGTATTCATGGAGTGCTGTATATGTGTCCCCTGAGTCTAGCGAGTGACATTCTGTAACTGTATTCATGGAGTGCTGTATATGTGTCCCCTGAGTCTAGCGAGTGACATTCTGTAACTGTATTCATGGAGTGCTGTATATGTGTCCCCTGAGTCTAGCGAGTGACATTCTATAACTGTATTCATGGAGTGCTGTATATGTGTCCCCTGAGTCTAGCGAGTGACATTCTGTAACTGTATTCATGGAGTGCTGTATATGTGTCCCCTGAGTCTAGCGAGTGACATTCTGTAACTGTATTCATGGAGTGCTGTATATGTGTCCCCTGAGCCTAGCGAGTGACATTCTGTAACTGTATTCATGGAGTGCTGTATATGTGTCCCCTGAGTCTAGCGAGTGACATTCTGTAACTGTATTCCTGGAGTGCTGTATATGTGTCCCCTGAGTCTAGCGAGTGACATTCTATAACTGTATTCATGGAGTGCTGTATATGTGTCCCCTGAGCCTAGCGAGTGACATTCTGTAACTGTATTCATGGAGTGCTGTATATGTGTCCCCTGAGTCTATAGCTTAAGTGTGGCATTCCTGTAACTGTATTCATGGAGTGCTGTATATGTGTCCCCTGAGTCTAGCGAGTGACATTCTGTAACTGTATTCATGGAGTGCTGTATATGTGTCCCCTGAGTCTAGCGAGTGACATTCTGTAACTGTATTCCTGGAGTGCTGTATATGTGTCCCCTGAGTCTAGCGAGTGACATTCTATAACTGTATTCATGGAGTGCTGTATATGTGTCCCCTGAGCCTAGCGAGTGACAATTTGTAACTGTATTCCTGAGTGCTGTATATGTGTCCCCTGAGCCTAGCGAAGTGACATTCTATAACTGTATTCATGGAGTGCTGTATATGCGCGTTCCCCAGCCCATAGCGAAAGGGCGTTCTGTAACTGTATTCATGGGAGTTAAAAGTCCCCAGTCTAGCGAGTGAC